ACCACTATATTTAGTTGTAAATGCTGTCGCCATAGACCTCGTTCGCTGTTTGCTCATATACAGAACTTATTAGTTGGAGAAGGCGGTAGGTGAGTAGCTAAACATTTTTGCAATCCCGAAATCTAACGTTCTTGATGACAGTCCGAAGAAGTAATCAACTGTACAGTCAAATATGAGAGGGAAATCGCATTATATAGTGGAACCATTCTCAAGAAAAACAATAACATCTATCCGATCAGTCACAGTTCAAAACTAATGCGCGAAAACATCACCTTGATGAATGCATTCACCATGCAGTTAGAGAAACAATAGATTACATTGTCACTTTTATTGACTGAAGGTTAGAAACAAGGTGCTATAGATGTCTCGAAATCACAGGCAAAACTGACACCTAAGCGAAATGATAAGCTTCTTTTTGAGGGCACCTTCGATGAAAAATAAAATGTAGGAACGGTGAAGAACAACAACTAAATGCTGGTCGTCTTTAAATCGTACAAAAAATAATTATTTACACAAAACACAAGGTGCTGTGTTTTTCTTGAACACTGGCGCTCAACCATCTTCTTCACACCAACTTTCCTCTACGCAGGCGCGGACCCGTCGCTCATATTCTCGCCGGTTTTCAACATAAAGTTGGGCAGCCAAACTGTTGGCCGGGGAATTGGGATTCGGTTCATCTAACAAAGATTGAATGGAAGTCAGGATCGCAAGGACATCATAAGTTGGGCTCCATGCGCTAGACAGTATATCCAAACATATGCTCCCGTCCGTGTATATGTTGGGGTGGAACATCTTTGACATAAAAACAACTCGTGGCGGACGATTGGGATATTCCTCTGTAAAGTCAAGTCTCAACTTGAAGGTTCCATCCTCGAACGCCGTTTCCTCGGGGCCGAAAATCACGGCATTCCAAACCATAACATTATCCTCAACAGGTGACCCACAGATACCGGGCGGTGGATCCGATTGAAGACGCCTCAAGTCACGCAAAAGTCTTCTTTGTGCTGGAGTTGACATGACTGAACCTACATGAGATGAAAATTAAAGGCTTTAGCGCCGAAAAACGGCAATAAGCACAGAAACACCGCAGAGTTACCTGCAGAAGAGAATAATTCAAATATGCCGCCCTCGGTTTCCTAAAGTAATCTCGAAAGTTCAGGTCAGTTCAATTCAGTTCGGTGCCCAGGACGGTGACAGCAGCATGCCAGGTCATCCAGCTTCTTGCACTGGTGAGCTCCAGGGATCTCCCGGTGCTGCGACAATATGTCCAATGTCCAATTCATGACAGGACAGTTCACAGAATTCACGGGATTTGCGGTATGAGCCAATATGGTAATCCAGGTTCTTGCGTCTATGGGCCACGTGCGTCCCTTATCACTTCGACAGTGAGTTCATCGGTCCTCGGTGGTGTACGGGTACAGCCGCGGAGCAGGGACATCAAACCGGTTTGCTATCGATGAAAGCAGCACCAGCTGATCAGTCACAAGCTAACCAGAAGGTCCAAGTTCTCCTCCAGCAAACAGTAGAGAACCCGCAGGTATTCAAATAATGGTTAAGATGAGAAAACAACAGTAGACTAGTACGGGGAGGACGGTGTGGGGAGCTGTAGTTAGACATGTGAGGTGAAGGTAGTTGAAGCAATTGGGATGATATAGTTAATAATAAAAATGGGAGAGGGCGGTGTTTGGGAAAGCTAAAGATACAGCTACCACCAAGGACTGTTGATTCTTTTCTTAGGAAAAGGTTACGTCCCACACCTCATCAAGCCTTTTTTTGAACAGTTCCAGCGTGGACGAAGAGACAACCTCATCAGAAAGTCCATTCCAGGCGTTAACCACTCTATGAGAGAAGTAATTTGCCCTCTCTCTTTTATGCACGAGGTTTGAAAAGCTTCAGCTGGTGTCCTCTTAGGGCTAGGTTTTCACTGAAGGAGAAGAGCTGTCAGAGTCCCTTCAGTATCTTGAAAACCTCTATTAAGTCACCTCTCATTCGTCTATGAGATATAGAGAACAAGTTTAGCTCTCTCAGAGACCTCGGGTGTGACCTTATCCTCAGGGCAGAGAAAAGCCCAGCGAATCGTCTCTGGACGTGTTTCTAAAGCCTTTTGGTCGCGCACGAGGATTGGCGCCTATGCCTGCACGCACCAAAGCCTTGTAGAGGGGCAGTAATACTCCAAGGACCCTCGATGCTAATGTTATTCTCAGGAAGAATAGGGCCTTTGAAGCCTTTACTGAGGCTAACTGACACTGTCTTGTGAACTGGAAGGAACCGTGCAGGACGACACCCTAACCTCGACAGTGATTTCCACCGGTATGGGCCCCATGCCATTTATCACTCTCGCCTCTGCGAGGGATCCCCTAAGAGTAGCTGTTTGCACCTTCCAGCATTCAGCAGAAACAGCCACTCCTTTATCCACTTCTGGACTTCGTATAGGTTGTCCTGAATGGCGTTTGTAGAGGGGTCACCGATAATTTTCACGCCATCGGTAAACATAAAGGATAAGTGTACCACCCCCTAAGTCGGGTCATCTATGTAGATGAGGAATAGTAGAGGTCCCAGCGCGGATCCTTGGGACGCACCACTAGAGACTGCTCCCCGAGTGGACATTTCACCCTCTACTCTGACATAGAAGGACAAGTCGAGTAGTTTCCCTGTAATCCATCATACGACCTGTTCAGACAAACGGAATATCTTTAGTTTTTCGATCAGCAATCGGTGGTTGACTGAATCGAATGCCTTTTGGAAATATCGGTAACAGACTTCCACATGCTCCCCTCGGTCCACCCTTTAGGTGATCTCATCCATGAAGTCCAGCAAGTTTTGTAGTGAGAGTGTCAACCCTTTCCGTCCATGTACCTTTTCCATCTTCCGGACCAGGATTATCTCATTAGTCACGGCACGTTGACATTCACTTTCTACACGCTTACGTACCTGTACGCTTCTCTCTGTTCTACAGCTCATTCCAATGCAATCGTCGTTGAGGATTCGTGATACCAGTCGTTCTGTTTTGGTTCATTACTTCGTCCGTTGCTAGACGTACGAATTCGTGGACATCATTAACTCGGAGACTAAATTGGGGAGACCGAAATGCTATTTTTATTTTTTTACAGTTACGGCGCATTTTAGTTTCGGTTAGACCGTTAGATTATTCCACTTGCTTAGTCCTTTTGATTATCACTGGTATAACCTTAGATTCATTTTTAAGTCTTTTATTGAGACGACGCATATATATTGTCCTTTTTTATTTACACATCACTTACGCGCATAATGCAAACTTCAGGAAGCGACGATCAAATAAGCACAGAAATCAACCTTAAGCAGCATGATAGCCCCCATGTAAGCAGTCTAGTGGCTAGAATCCTGGAGTTCATCCACGAAGACCCGGAGTTCTGGCTAGCACAGGTAGAAGCGCAGTTCCGGTTGGCCAGGGTGACCAATCAAGTCACCAAATTTACACAAATCGTGGGATACATCCCACTCTCCATGAGGCCTGGCTTAAGGAACGTAGTGTGTCCCCCCTCCCCCCGCCCCCACCCGATAGACCTTATGACGCATTAAAAGATACGATCATCAACCGTTTCAGCATGACGGAGAAAAACCGTACCGAACAGCTATTGAACGGAATCCGTCTAGGGGTAATGATCTACATATTCTCACGCAGCTGCTCAGCTATATGAGGAGTCTGGCTTCCAGCTTACACGTAAGCAAAAACGTGCCACGCATCTGTTGAACGCAAGCACTGCCAGATTACGTCGCGACTTTCCTTAGAGTGTTCGCGAATAAAGCCACCTCGGAAGAGCTAGCAGAAGCAAACGACAGTATTTGCGCGCATACCCCGTCGGCTCCACCAGTCACCCCCAGACTCAGAAAGTTACTCGTGGAAGGATGCAAACGATCAAGTAACTCGGCATTTAGACGAGCTAATGACCCAAGTGGCCGCGCCTAAGGTTTTCCGCTCGAGAGCGGGAAACCTCCTCCCGTTCGCGATCCCATAGCCGACAGGGACGGCCCAGGTCACAAAATACCCCTTCGGACGTTTGGTGGTACCATCGCCAATATGGTGACGCAGCTCGCAGGTGCACGAAACCTTGTAGTTACAAGTCATCCCAGCAGGGAAACGCCTAGGCCGACCGGCCCAGGCGACGACCGTGTCGGGTTTAGCTAAACCAAGTCGCCTATTTTACGTCACAGACGAGGTCACTGGTACATGTTTTCTAGTCTACACTGGTGCGCAGGTTAGCGTTATCCGCCCTCGTCTCATCGATCCGCGCCATTCATCGATTATTGAGTTGGTCGCAGTGAACCAAACCTCAATCGAAACTTGCGACGAGCGTTCACTCACACTGAACCTCGGAATTCGCCGTGGTTTTCCATGGGTCTTCATCATCGCTGACCTTCCACATTCGATCCCATAGGTCATAAGCTTGTAGATCGCCTCATAACTTGTTAGGTATTAGGAGTCCCGACAAGTGGAACATCCGTCGGCCCCATCACCTGTCGCCCGCTGAAAGATCGGTTCCATACGGTTCTCTCCGAATACCTGAAGTTACGTAAACCGTCGAACATTCTTCCACAGGTCAGCACTGACATAGTGCACCACATTGTCACATGGGGTCCACCCGTCCACTGCCGTCCCAGACACCTCACCCCAGACAAGCTGAAAGTAGTACGGGAAGAATTTCAACACATGTTATACCTCGGAATCATACAGCCCTCTTCCAGTCCGTGAGCCTATCCTTTACACATGGGTCCGAAAATGTCCACCAAAGACTGGCGTCCCTGCAGTGACTATAGGGCCCTAAACAACATCACTACGCCTGACCGATATTCAATACCACACATCCAGGACCTGACAGCAAGTTTAGGAGGGTGTAAGATCTTTGGCAAAATTGATCTCGTTCGAGCTTACAACCAAATCCTCGTGCACCCTGAGGATATCCCAAAAACCCCTGTGACTACGCCATTTGGCCTCTTTGAGCTTTCGCGTATGCCTTTCGGTTTGAGAAACGCAGCTCAAACTTTTCAGTGTTTCATAGACAAAATATGTCAGGGACTATTTCGCGATATAGCATACTTGAGATGGGTCTCGGAATTTGTTGTCCCCGGGGGATCTTTATTCCCTAACGTGGACTGCTTCGAAGAAGAGTCTGAAGATTTTCGGTTTCTTCGAGCTAGCTAGGACTGGGTGGTTGGTGTTGTCCTCAAGAGCGCCTATCGCCGTAAGCAACTTTGAGTTAGCTGGTACGTAGTTGAAGAATGCATTGGGGCATTCTTTAATCCTCCGCGTCAGTCTTGTTTCGATGGCCCTATGGCAAGCCATCTGGACACTCATCGCCCTATTTCTCTCCTTGAGGTGCTGGAGATACCTTTGTTAACTTCGGGTCCTGAGGTGGTTCCTCCAAGCTTAACGCTTTCGGGCTTTGGCCTTTGCTACACTACTGGACCACCACGGGAGTCTGCCGTTTCTGCGAATCCTCCTTGGTGGAGCAAACTCAGAGGCGAGAATTGAGAAGTTGGACTTTATGGTGGTCCATAGCCCTTCTATAGTGTCCAGCTGCACCCCCAGTGTAGCTCAGTGGCTCTTGCAGTGAGAGAGTTACTGTTTATTCTGTGGAAGCTCTTCTCCATTGTATGTAAGGAGTTGGGCCATCTTCCTGCAGACAGAAAACGCGGAATCACATGGTCACTCCTACCTGGGGGTGTGGGGGTTTCTAAGTCGTCCAAGTAATTGGGATATTTACTCAGAACTAGGTCCAATAACCCAGAATTTTTCCCCCTGCGATAACGCGTGGGTTGGCTGACGTGTTGGACTAGGGCGCGGTAGAGGGTAACATTAACTAGCAAGTGAGCAAAGCTGCTTGATGGTGCCTAAGTGGTATGCCAATCAACTTCCGGGGTATTGAAGCCTTCTAGTGTTAGCAGGCCGTTCGTCCCATGGCCCAACTGTCTAAGGTATGAGAGCAGTTGCTTATCCTCCACCTGGGATGTTGAGGGATTGTGATACACACAGCCAACCA